TCTTCCATATTCATCCACTTCTTTTCAAAAGCCAGGGTTTTATTGTTTTTTATGAATAGTATTCCATTGAGTATATGTGCCACAGTTTTTCTAACCATTCATCAGTTCATGGGCATTTAGATTGTTTCCGTAACTTAGCAATCGTGAAAAGTGCTGCAATAAACATTGATGTGCAAGCACTTTTTCGATTAAGTATTCTTCTGTCCTTCGGGTAGATACCGAGGAGTGGGATTGCTTCGATAAAACTTTATTATTAGACACTGTAATTCAAATTTCATGTAATTTTCATATGCACAAAGCATCCTTTTTACTTTCTTATTTTTTAATTGCCAGAAGGCATGTGCACTTGCCAGAGACAGAGAAAGCATATCTTCAATGGGGTGTAGTCATCCCTTCTCCTCCATTCTTCCACCCTGTCAAGGTTTGGGGGATGCACACACACACACACACACACACACGGTGTATTTTTCAAGGTACTGGGCAGGGATTCAAATCACATAGTCAGCCATGAAAGATGTGGCTCCCTTAATCAGTAGGCCATGAGGCTGGCCTGAGTTAGGAATACTACTTACATCTTCCGAATGTTTAAAAAAGTCAAAGAAGAGACTGGTCTCATGGCCTACTAGTCAAAGGAGCTAGATTCCCCATGGCTGACCACAGTTCAAATCCTGATCCCCTGAAAAACACACCAGATATGTGTGCATGTGTGTTCCAAATCCTCACAGGATGAAGAAATGCAGATGAGTGGGGGGATGCTTTCTCTTTCTCTCTCCGGCAAGCACACACGTCTCTGATGACTAAAAGAAAAAAACTGGTGAATCTAAGTGCAGGATATGTGGGTGTTCACTGTCAACTCTTTATAGATTTGAAATGTATAAATAATGTTAGAAACATTTTCTAAAGTAAAAAAAAAAAATGTATTTTCGGGGGAGATGTAAATTAATAGACTTGCACAGACCTATCTCCAACCAGAGCATCAGAACCATCTGTGCTCCCCTGTTCATATTTTCTCTTTTCACAGGAAACTGCCACAGACTAACTTGGTAATATTTGTTTATCTAGTGCCTGTTTCAATCACATTAAATGTAATTTTAACTAAATGTAATGAGATTTACAAAAAATACTATTTAAAAAATATCTCAATGTTTCCTTTAGACTCATCTTGTTCTAAAAGCAAAGAAAAGCTTGACTTGCTTAGATTCTGAGCATTTGAGGAAGAGGAATCTTTCGTTACACATAAAACACAAAAATTATCTTGGAAGACTTCTTTTGTAGGGGTAGGTGCTCTAGTCCTACAGGTGGCAACAGCATTTGCCAGTGTCTGGGTTCTCCAGGCTCAGGCTTGCACTTGCTGGATTAGGGTTCAATGCTCTCATTTGAAAATCGAACATGGGAAATAAATTCATTCAGTCACTGCAGTGCATAAAAATAAATTTATAAAAAGCTTGCACATTTAAATAAAAACATAGAAACTATCCCACAAAATCGTCGACCTTCAGTGGAGGACTTCTGCGACCCACCATTTGACTATAAAATGAAGTAATTAGAGCATGTCGTCAATCTTTTCTTAAAAAGCCTCGACTATGGACTACGGGCTGCAGATGTGGAGTCATCAAAGACAAATTTTGGGAAAGTGGTCTCCGTTTAAGAAACTGGAAGTGCTCACACTCATTGCATTACGGGTAGTGTAACCCGCACCTCCCATGAGAAAACTCAGCATCCGTGCCCATACATGAGAAAACTCACCATCCGTGCCCATACACACCGGAACCGTAATCACTTCTTGCCCGTCTGTTTCCGATGTCCTGACTTTTACATACTCAACGCTTCGCTCCCTCTCTACCTCCACCCGTGCGTACAGCCTCACCCCCAAGCCCGCCAAATCCCATGAAACCCCACCCCCACCAGCCACGCACGGTCCCCATAGGCTCCGCGCATGGCTTTCGCAGCCGGGCATTAGCCTGTGTCTGAGCACGTTCTGCAGTCTCCCCCGATACCCCGGCATCCCACAAAAGCCCCCCTTCTCTTCTCCCTTTCCGCCTATCTTCTTGAGTCCCGCCCTGTCCCGCCCCACCTGGCTATTTGGTTGGCCAGCGCGTTTGTTATACGTAATCCATCCGCGCCGCCCGGAAGCCGCGGCTCATACCAACTGTTCTTATTGCCCGCGGCCCTAAGGTAAGGGTCGCGCTTGGGTGTCCCTGGGTGGTCGTGCGCCGGAGTTAGGAGGGACAGAAGGCGGAACCGCCAGTCTGAGCCGGAGAAGCCCATTTTCAACGTTGAGAGGGTGGAGATGAATTGTGCATGAGGCCAAACTGGAGTGGTCAACGTGGTGTTCCCCCTCCCCACTCCCCAGGCGCTCATCATGGCGACGCCCCCTAAACGGCGGGCATTGGAGGCCACGGGGGAGAAAGTGCTGCGTTACGAGGCCTTCATCAGTGACGTGCTGCAGCAGGACTTGCGGTGAGTGACAGCACGGGAGGCGG